GCCCGACTTCCACGAATTCGAATTCGAATTCTCGCAACGATGCAAACACAGGGAAATGCAAAACGAGAAAAAGTCGACGAGTTCTCCTTCCGTTCTTTTCTCGCCACCTGCCTAATTTCGTGTCGTTTCTAGTTCTTCCGTTTCGTTCCTCCCGTATCTTTTCCTTGTAAGATAATGTCGGTCCGAGATAGGCGCCAGCCGATACGGGAATGGTTTGGTCAGCTACGCGAACAATAAACGAGGTGTACAACAAAACAAAGACCAGTATGCATGCGTGGCACGAGAAAAGGTAGATTACGTAGGTATATTATTACTACATTGCGCTTTGTCTATCTTTCTTCACGATCCCCCCACCCGATATATTCTCAGTTTCTCAGTTTTTTCAGTCTGCCTGATACAAACACTTCTCTATCTATCAGCTTACAGAACACGAATACTTGGCTTCTCGTCCTCCGTACACTGTCTCCGAGATTTCTGTTTGCGTTCTGCTCTTCTCGACGCGATTTGATTGGATCCCTTTTAGTTCTGAACCCCACTTGAATCCTGTCCCACTTCGAACGATGGAGTTCTTCCTCGATGGGAACCGCGGCTTGTCGTTGTGAAAACAACGATCGAGTCGTTGAATCGTAGAATCTCGAACGATCATTTTGCCCCGGAAGCTTTGGATAAAGACGAATCTGGTTGGACAGAAATGTGTACGTTCGCCTGCTTTACTTTGATTCCGATGTGTAACATGTGTACGTCCGTCCGGGAGGGATCTCGATCGGAACATTGCAATTTTTTTTATCGATTAGCAATATACGCGTTTCAAACAAAATTTGTGTTCCTATGTCCGTAAAAAGTATTAGCCAATTTGTGTAACGTTAATTTGAATATTATCAAAATTGAAAATACTATAATGTCTTGGAAATTGTAGCATTAGAAATTTAAAGGATATTCTTGGTTGGTTTTTCATTTTTGTAATTTTTTAATTATAATATTTACAAGCATAAAACGTACTAAATCGTAGCACGTGGAAACAGGTAGAAGGATCTAACATGCTCGCCTTAAATAGGTTATAAATTATACGTGTATAAAGAATGATTGCACAGGTTCAGTCAGTGAGATATTACAATTTGCGTTTGGTTGGCCTTAAATCATAAATTTAACGCGTTCACTGTCCAATCCCTCAACGGTGTATCTATTAACACAGTTCTATGACCCACATACGAAACATGGACAGTGAACGTGTTAATTCGACCATTTGCAACAGTGGACAAGCACACCATTTCGTCAATTGCAATTCCTATATTTTAGCTGCTGGATAGAAAAATGATTCTTTATACAACGCATAATTTACAGTCTATACAAGGTAAGCATGTCAGGTGCCTCGCTTTATATAAATATTTTTTGACATTCTGAGTATGGTTCGAGCCCCCCAGGCTCTCTGAAAACGTGCTCGTCCCGATCGCAATCTCTCTCTGCAAGCTTATTTCAGTCAAACTTCAATAAGCTTGCTCTTGTCCCTCGTCACGATCGAAGCTATACTTGAAACTGACCTTTCGCTTATCGGGCATTGCTATCGGAAGGTAGAGGAGAAGGACATTCGTACAACGATGCGCAACGAAGTTGTCTCGCAATCATAATGTAGCTTTCGCGGCGATTCAATCGTCCACCAATGCACATAGCGCACGAGAGAACTGCGTTGCGAACGTGCGGCCCAAAAAGGTAAACATTTTTCCGCAAGATCACCTATCGCTTGGTAGAATCTGTACTAAACGATCAACAAAAGAATACAACGAACACGAAAGTCAAGCGAGACATGTCGCTGAAACGATCAAATAAGTACGTACACGCTTTCGCTTTTCACGGCTTCGCAATCGAATTTTTCCACCCCTTCCCGTCCCGTTTGGTATATATCATACGCTCATACGTCTTTCTTTAAACATCCCTTCTTTTACGAGACGTCAGACTCGTCGCGACGTGTTCGATCGGACGTTACCGCGATATCGCGGCCAAAGAAACGAGCGATATCGAGGCAACGCCGTCACCTGAACGTTCTATCTGCGACTCTCTTTCTCTCTTCGTTCGTTTCTTCGCCTATCGCCCCGAGTTGTCCATTGTCCTACTCGCCATCCTAACTTAGAAACAGCATGGCTTCCAGCACTCTCTTTAGCTACGAATCTAAGAGTTCGCGCGAGGGTGGGCTGCCCTTACATCACGTTTCCACCATCTTAAGCAGGGTAGAAGTCACGTTGCGAAGATCATGTCGTTTGATTTTCCGAAACGCGACCCGCAGACGACGTTCGACGCGTGGAACGTCGATCGCGGGTCGGATCGGAATCGTTTGACCGCTCGAGGTCATCGGGTGATCCTCCCCACCCGCACAGTTTCGTCTCCCCACCACTTCTGCGCCTCGCGCCGCCGCGCAGACGCGAGTCGAGAAGTTCACGATGGAGGGGGAACGCGACCTCGAGCGACCAAAGAATTTCGATCCGACCATAGAGCGCCATTTGCAACGTTCGAAGACACATGGTATACGTAATGTGTAATTATACCGCGTGCACATAGGCTAGTCTAGATGATATTGCAGATAGAAGACCAATCATACTTTCGGTTTTCATGTTTTAGGACACAGTTATACATACACGAAGAGAATCCTAGATCTTTAACCCCGCCATCTCGATCCTCATCACGACAAGGAACAAGAGAGAATGCAATGTTTCGTTTTATTTCTTTTTTTTTCTCTCTCTCTTATTTGTATGTTTTTGTTTTTGTTCCCGACTCATATAGTCTGGTTTGAGATCATTCGTCATGGGTATGCATTTACGTACGGATATTACGATCGTAGCTATTAGTTGTTGCAGTTTCTATTTCACGTTTGAACTCTGCAGAGAAATTCCGACGTAATTAGCGTTTTACATTGGTTCGCTGCGTTGCATTGTTTTCTGGTAATTATGAGTTTATCGTTATTAATCTTTAGAGTGGTCGATGCTGAGCGAATTTAAACTGTAATAGCATTAAAGCTATGGCATGAGTATAACGAGCTAGCTTCATTCTTTTTGTTTGTGTATCGAATAATAGAGTATTTTGACAATCGAATGGACTCGAGTTTAATTTGTCCACTTGAAAAAGGAAATTCAGACGAGCTGACACGCAAATGCAAATAGAAAATAATGTCTAACTGAAAATTTGCTGAAAAATACAATGAAAATAATTAACTGTCAAAATTAAAGCTTTCTTTTACAAGAAATTATTCAATTTATTTACAGATAATGTAGGTATCCGAAAAGAAAATGTAGAAAATGATCAGACAAATATTTTAATCGTTTTTGAAAGCATTAAGATTAGAGGAAATTATGTAAAAAGTAAATTCTTTGAAATTAAGTTAATACATGCCTTGTGTTTATACTAATAGAATTTACATAATTACAGTATTATCACCATTCAAAATACTGAATGCGTTTCTAGTTCAAGTTTCAAAAGTCAATTGGCTTCAGTGATTATATGAAAAAGTCTAATTACAGTCAAATTAAATCTGAGATACCACAGACCGTGTTTCTTTTCAGCTTTAGACGTAAGATGAACTAAAAGCAAGGCGTGGTATTTAATTAAAAGAAGAGTCACGACGAACTATACAACAAACAATCGTTAACTACGAGTAATTCACATTGAAATTTGTCAAGTTTCGTAAACGCTATTAAAAGTCTGAAGTCGGCCCGAGAATACATTGACCGGCCGGATTAATTGCCAGTGGATGTCTCTTGTAATTAATATGCAAACGGTATAAATAGAAAATGGGTCAGCTCGTTCTATTCAATTCTGGGTTGTTTTGTTCTCTCCCGTCGCGAGGATTACGAATAAAATTCTAATGCGCTCGGAGAAAACGGGCAATCGGCGCGGAACTCGTTTTCGCCGTTAATTCAGATGAAAATGCATAACCAGTTACCCGGTAGCCAAGAAAATGGCGCCGCTACCAACAGCGGTTTAATTGAATTGTCGTTCAAGCATGCTGCTCGAATCGAACCATTGTAAAATATCTTATTTCCGTTTCGAGTCGGATACGTAGATGCATGCTGTCATGCGCTCTCTTCTCTCCTTCATTTTTCTCTCTATCTAACTCTGCCCCCTTAGCCCTCGAGGTTGTTCCACTTTTCACCGAGCGTTCTCCGATAGGTTCTCGTCGATAGTTGGTACACTCTGTCCAGATCGTAAATGCCCCGGATTCCACGACTTCCGGTCCCCCCCCAATAGAGCAACGCGATCTCCAGAGTACAAATCTGTGCATTTTGCTACACACACCGTCGAGTAACTCATTTCTACAAGTCGAAATAGAAAAATACTACTTCTGGCATCGGTAGTTGACTTTCCTCGACAGTTCGCTGTCACGAAATTCATCCATTTCTTTCCCGAACGAATCGTTCGAGGCTGATCGACGGAATTAGCAAACAGGAAACTCGAATCAGCGGCGAGACACGGTGGGAACGTCAGTATCATACCGTTTTCGTACGATCCGATTTAATCGGTTAGCTGTCGGAGTCTGATCGTGTTCGGTGTGCTCTTAGGAGACCAGCGAGTGCGGAATAGACACGAAAAACGCTTTGGATCGGTCGCAGGAAGTCGGGACGTCCTGCTGGTCGAGATCGTGGCCCCGGAAACTATGGAACAGACGTTGCTCGAGAAGTTCGCGCTCCGACGCGATCGTAGAATCCAAAGACGATCGATGGGGGAAGATCATCGACGGAGGATCAAACCTAGACAATTTTCTCGATTCGCATTTACTTATTCGAATGACGATTACTTTTGTTTCTCTTGTTTATTTTTTTACTTTTACGTCTTCGATGGTTCCTTTAATCAACGATCCTCGGATTGTGAGACGCGCGAGGAAGCAGGCAGATTAATACTATCCTTTTAGATTATATATTTATCGGTGTCTTCGCATACCCCTGAAGCACTCTAACGATCCTTGAGCGGCGGCACGTGTTTTTGTTGAGCGATGGATGTCTTCGTCGTTGTTACAGATGGGCAAACTTGGAAGCAATCCACTGGCTGGTCTCGCGGCTCTGGGCCTTGGAGGCCTCGCCACACCTGCTAATACCGGTGGACTTAATCCAGCAGGTGAGATAACGTTTCGTCGAGCGGCCATCATACTAACTATATCATTTTTACAGTGCATTTGCTTCTTTAATGAACTGTTTACGGTAGGACCTCGATGTTTGCAGAAAAACGACGTGAAAAATCCTGCAACGATCGAGGTAACTGATCTGATAAAAAGACCCAATTACATACTACATCCCCACTACCTATGATCACTCCCTTCCACTTCCAATTCCTTCCGTTACTAAGCGACCGTCTCCTTTTACCAGACACGGTGCAGCGAAGGAGGGTCTCGTGCAATCATCGAGGTTCTACTGTATTCGGGACCAGAAGTACTGCGAAGAAGTGTACAAAATGCCTCTGAGTGATCTTCACGATGTTAGAGAGGTCTTATCGCCCATGTTATTTAATAATAGTTTATGGGGCAGTAACGAAATAAATTTCCACTAAATCTGAATTCCATTCAGGGGCATTTTCTTCAGCTTCAGCTACAAATAGAAGAAGCCACTGTAGCGAAAGGATAATAGAAAGAATTCCGTAATGATAATAAAAAAAATCAAGAAAGTAGAGTAGAATAGATTGGTACGGTGGAGAAGCATGTAAAATTTAAATCCTATAAACCTGCCTTTTTGAGAAATGTAATACTCTATTATAGTCAGGTTGATTTTGTATCTATTATATACACACGCGTTTATAATCGTTTATCTGGTTGATTCCATATTGATAATGTTTGCAAGTCAATTTCAATGTTCTCAAATCGAAAAAACTATTTGTTTGTTAGCCCTGGCAGCGCTTGCCGGTAGCCAGCTACGCACCAGCAATACAAACAGACAACAACCAGCGGCGAACAATCAGACACACGAAATGACCGTGCCAAACGAGCTGATCGGTTGTATCATCGGGAAGGGTGGCACCAAGATCGCCGAGATCCGTCAGATCTCCGGCGCCATGATCAGAATCAGTAACTGCGAGGAGAGGGAGGGCGCGGCCACGGATCGTACGATCACCATAACAGGGAATCCGGACGCCGTGGCATTGGCACAATATCTCATCAACATGAGGTGAGTACCGCGGGGCCAGAGCGCTCGCTGTGGTTACCGAGATCGAAGACAGGGCCCGTGATGAACATTGGACCTGATCTTTACACCTCAGCAAAAAAAAAAAAAAGAAAAAAAAGGAGAAAAAAAAGAAAAAAGAAACCGGTTCAAGGTTCCTACGATTGAATTTATTTTCTGTTTGAAAGATAAAAGAAAAGCAAACTCTTCCATTCCCATCGAAACAAGTCGAACTCGTCCCGGCTACGTTTTGCGCTAGATCGCGATACATTACTCCCCAACCCCCGATACCACCCCTTAGCCCTACCTTTCAATCTTTCTGATTTCTTTCTTTCTCATCAAAACGGCGATCGTGCCGTGCCACCTCGGATTGTGTATGTCGCCGGTGTAGATTACACGTTATGATCCTCGACGGGCAATATACCCTTACTCGTCTTGTTTTTGTGTTACTCGTTCCTCCCCCCCGTAATTGACCTTTCTTAGCCTCGGTGTCTTGAAGGTGATCAGTGAGACTAAGGGAATAGTCGAATTGCCGTCATCGCGACACCTCCTATCATGTTTGTTATTGTTACTGTTGGTTCTGCCGACGACGCGCCGGTTAACGACTCCGCGAAACTTTTCTCGGAGAACATGGATACTTTGTCGCGGAGAAATAGCTCGATAGGGTGGTTAACGGATGTTCTGGTGTCGTTCTACCGGCGCGTCGAAGCGGGCTGAGTATCACGAAAGAGGTGGCGATACTGCATAGAGAACTTGCACGTGGAACCACGGCTGATAGATCATATTCCGTCGCTTGACGTTCTCGCGCGCGCAGAGTATCGTAACGCCACCTCGGTCTCTAGCGTAACAGGTGAGATATATCGTAGTCGTAAGGTTATACCATAGCACAGAAGACGTCGCTGCGCAGCGAACGAGGGATCAACGTCTACGTGGAGTCGCCGGAAGACACCTTCGTCTTGCCCACGGCGGAAGAGGATCTTAATCCTTTATTTCCAGGTCCTGCTTTCCAGGTCCAGTACCCCGAGTATCCTGCAGAACATATTCTCCGCTCAACATCTGTTTCCCATTGTCGCTGGCTGTCCTTTCAAGTAAACATAACCGACAGAAACGACACGTATAGTCGAACGATTCCAGCTACGTCGTTCCGTTGATTACGATCAATCCTGAAGAGTCCCGTGCAAGCAAATGCATCACAAGTTCCTCCTTTCGATTCGATCGTTCGACGGTTCCAGAATTTCTTTCCGATCGGAGATCCACCTTTGGCGAAGGTCTCTATCCTCCTCGTTGCTTCTTTGATCCACAAATTTCGATCGCACCTAACGATTATATTTTTCACCCAATAACACAGTCCACGTAAAATTTGCTGGACAAGTTTAAAGATTTCTTGTGGAGACATTTAGTAGTCCCGCAAATTTAGCAACTTAACTATTAACCTCTTGCAGGCTATGTCTAACGTTCTATCAAAAAGAGCCTAAGTGCAAAGGATTAATTACTCCATGAAGGTATAAATAGTTCCTTTTCTAGGGGATAAAATGAAATGCAATAGAAGGTAGATCGTTCGTAATGTTGAATGAAATTGAGTATGGACGAAGGAAGCTAGAAAGAGACAGCCTTCGCCAAAGGTCTCCGTCGATGCATTTTTATATTTTTGATTTTTACGTTCACCCTCCCGCTGTTGTCATCATTGCGTGCCCATAAATGTTCGTTAGTGAATGTCCACGGATGCAGATCTGTTTGTTTCCTAAAATCGTGTTATGGGACTAACGATACCATTCTCACAACGGCGACACTTGAATGCTGAACGATGTTAACGTAGTCGTCGACGAGATTCGAGGAGATTGAACGCGTCCTATAACGCGTCTGCCAACCTTTTAAAAGAACCAAAAAAAAAAAGAGAAATTTACCAGCCCACCCCTCTCCGACCCACCCTAATTAGCACGACCAGCAAAACGAGTGTCCAAGTTATCAGCCGCTCGAAACGCGAGTCGAAAAAAACCTTCACACTATTCCCCCCACGTTATAATTATAATCCATTATATTTTATTCCAGATTGTCACTCATAATTTACTACTGCATTTAATAGCGACAGAATATTCATCATCCCCCCGATACTTCTTGTACCTGCTCATAACTTGGTAGCCATGATTATTACATATCCAGCACTCCCGCGGGCCAGGACCTGCACTCTGCCGCCCAACCAATCGCGTCTACGCGTTTCACGAGCCAATTATCGGCGACGAGCCGACGTCGTACCTGGCAGAGTGCGAGTCCTGCGCCCCGTTTAGTTTGATTTCCGCTTTTCAGTGACTCCGCAGAGCCATGATGCGTTCCACGAAACCGCACGTTGTCGCTTTATCAAAGTATCCTTGATGCGATACCGCTCTAACGGACAGATCGTCGAGGAATCGTTCCGCTTCCTGCTTCTTCGTACATCGTGTATCGCGGCGACGGACTATGGCTCTGCTGTGCCAGAAAAATGGACGATGTATTCGCGAACGGTGGTAGAATTTCTGTTGTCTCGTTCGTCGTGGGTCGAGAAGCCCCCCTTTCGGTACCCGTAGTCGTTTTGGATGGATCGTCTATGACTCGAGCGAATACAAGTCCCTCTTTGTGGCAGCTCCTTGCAGCGCGTGTTCCGCGTCGGGACGCAATTTGGCTGGTCGCGATTCACCGTTCGATCAACGGAACTTCCGGTGTCCGCGGTGATCTCAGCGTGCCATAACGCGTCCCGACGCGACAGGCTCCGTCCCCCCACGAACCACCACGTAGCCGGTGTACGTGAGAGTATCACGCTCCATAGAGCACCTGTGCCATAACTCTCTGAAGCCTTTTAAACCTTGCGACTTGATTTCTTTCTTTCCGTTTTTATTTTTCTGTTCCGACTTTCACGCTGCTGTTCCGTTAATCGATAACTCTTTACTTCTAGCAGCCCGGTTTTTATTTCTATCATCTTCTCTTTCTCTCTATCGCGCGCCACCTTTACGTTTATCTTTCATTTCCGTTTCTATCTCTGTCACTGATTCTTCTCATCTGTCTCAGAAAACGCACACTGAAACATAGAACACACAGTTGCACATACACACACAGACACGTACACGCACACATCGTTTTAGAGGAACGTTCCCACCCTCACCTTTTTACATTTTGTGTCTTTTCCCCAGTGTTGAATTGCAGAAAGCTAACTTAGAGGCCCAAAATACCCAAACCCCTGGCAGCGGTACCACTCCCGGGGCATCCGGAGCCAGTGCTTCTCCCTCTACCACCACTACCAATGCCTCTCCCTTGGCCAGCGCCATTCCCTTGGCTCAGCTGCTAAGCAAGCCAGGCGCCCTCAACGCCCTATCTAGCCTCACCGCCCTCGGCGGACTCACGGAATTGCTAGGTGGTGCTGCTGGCGCGGCTGCATCCGCGCTTCCGGTCCAGACAACCGGCGTGCACCGATCGCACAAGTTCACGCCGAGGCTACGTAGCCCTGGCGCACCGGGACCCACCGACAGCGGGAAATTCAAATCCGAGCGCACCAAGTACAACCCGTACTGAGCCAGCGGACGACCATCTACGGAGAGACGCGTCAGAGGGATCATTACACATTCTACACGCATTACTCATCACCACCACCGACTCCACGACCACCACACGGAACACGAAATTTACATCGGAGAAATGTGCGTACGGACGCCAGGGTAGCGCGAGTCCGGATTCAAGACTTGGCTAAGGATCGAACCACGGGGTTTTTTCACGGACTTCTTCTCCTCGATGGGTGATAACGATGATTAACACGTAGGGTAAGACACGCCGACGACGGGGACGCCAGTTCTCCCCCGTGGTCGGTCCTCTTTCTAACTCGTCGCTGATACGAACATCGTTGTTTTTTTTCTTATAGTCGATTCGTTTCTAAATATGTCCCGTAAAGGGGGCTGTTTCTCGTTGAAAAGTAAGACAAAGATGTGGAATAATTTCTTGGCACTCGTTCATTTTAACATATTTAATATGAAACGATAACTATTTTGATCCGTCTTCGTCGGTGTACGATAAATCTTACGAAGAATCGAGGAACATTAGGTTTGTTATTAGATATTGTGGGGAAGGGTGATTCTTTACAAAATTTATTGTATACCAAGATTTACAATGTAGAACCAGTTTTTAGAATGACTCCGAATGCCAATACAAATCGAAAAGTCCTTTTCCATTTTGCAATCTGAGGCTTCGTTATCGAAATATAAGCAGTCGAAGTATTTGAGCGTGATTGCGCGCATGTGCAGTCTGAGACAAGATGGCGCGTGTTGGGAATCCCAATCAACGAACTTCAATTGCTAATATCTCGGTAACCAAGCTCCAGATCACAAAGCGGCATAAGACTTTTCAATTTATTTTCTTGCGAGGAATCGATTCCGAAAGAGATCCTACATTTTGGTTAATGTAATGCAAAATCGAAAACATTTTTTCTCCGCATATAATAACAAAATTATTTGAAACAAAATGAAGTAAAAATCAACAGGATTGTATAGTTTTACTCAAATAGAAATTCGAAACAAGAAAGATCTAACGTAGAATCAGTATATTTAGAAACTAATTAATTGTTCGAATCGACTATAAGAACCATTAGATTTGCTCATTCCACAAGCAATATTCAATATCATTTTCTTTATCCTTTTTTTATTTAAAATTTAACGTAGATGGTTTTTCGAATTTTGCATTTTCCGGTGCGAGATCCGATGCTAAGTCTTCGGGCCGTTCACACTAGCGCGACACGTCCTCCGAGTCCGCGTAATCGTGATGGCGCGTCTCTATCCGACGCGCAAATTCGCACGAGGGATAACGTGTCGATGATATATTTTTCCCTTAACAATTCTTTTTGTTTTCTTTTTTTTTTTTACATTTCTTTCGTCCTTTTACTTTTTTTAAGTCTATAGTATCGCGCGATACCGTCTAAAGTATTTTTTCATTCGTTTCTCCGCGCGACTCGGAGGACGCGACTGCTTGTGCACCGTCGCAAAGCAGCCTTTTATATATACGTATATATATATATATAAATATAAATACAATTACGATGAATTGATTAATGTTTGATGCAAAAAACATCTTCTTACTAGCGTTAGGGTTTCCGATGTAATTTTTTCTCGTAGTTATAGCCGACCAATTGAATTGAGAGAGGTGTATTGGCGCGAGTGAACTGAACGAACGTGAGAGTAGAGAAACAACGTTTAGGGGTGCATGAAAGAAAATTATATATATACATATATATATATCGTTTTGTTTTTCCTTATCTTCAATTATGCCTTTATCAGGGAGAAAGAGTAAACGAAGAATGCGCATATAAAGAAATAAGAGAGAGAAAAAATAATACATTAACAGACGTAATGGCGTCGTGTGTAGATGCACCGTGTCGTAATCATGTAACGTGCTTTAGAAACGACGACAGAACTTCCTCCGATATATGGTCCATAGAACCGACCGACACAGAATAGAGAGACAGAAGAATAATCCGAGAGCTTAATCGTACCTCGTTCGAGGGGTAGCTTCATCGAATGTCGTCAGTGAACATAAATTTATATATTCGATTTACCAAGTAATCAATGAATTTACAATAGTGGTCATTTTATTGTAACGATATATAATTATATACAATAAACAGAACGTAATCATTCACGAGGATACACGCTCGATTATATATATGTACCGGATAGAAAGAAAGTAACGATTCTTCAGCGAGTTCAGATAATTAGCGTAACCGACGTTTTAGACGTATACGTATACACGCATACACACTTGTACACGTACACACAGAGACACGAACTCACACAGTACACAAGAGGAAACGGATCGTGTTTTTTTTTTTTTTCTTTTTTTTTTCTCGATGAAATCGTAGTTGTACTCGACCGTGCATCGAACGTCTTTTCTTCTTGGTCGTACGTGGGACGGTGTTAAAAGAAGATGGACGGTTTACCGTGATTTCGGTGCGACGAATATTAAGATCGACGGCTTTTTCTTCGCGGAGAATCGGAAAAGAAGAAAAGATGCGAGATCGTCCGTTCTCGATGAACGATCCGGCTGCGTGAGAGCGCCCAGATCGATGTGTGCTCAATTTCTAGTTTGTAGCGAGGAAGTACTTGCATATAGTGATCAATCAGGTGTAGATTTACGATCGGGTGTTATATCGCTCGTATACCGAATTCGACGCGACGATCGTGATCGCGGATCGTTCGACGATCGTTTCATCGATGTGATCCATCGAGCGAACGGGCACGAAAACGGGAGATCGTTTCGGCCGATCGATGATCCACGCGCGACGAATCGCGAACACACGACGTCGCGTCCCTCGTATCATAATATTGCTTATTGTGTTCTTCATTCTGTACCACTCCATAGTCTCGCCCCAATTTCGTTTTCTCGTCGAGACAATAATGATTTTTCACACGTCAGCGGCGATTCCCGCGGGATCGAAACAAGGATTTAGAGGTTACATCGTAGCGCGAGAAACGGGAGGTTGATCAAGATTCAAAGAGTATACACAAGGATTTTGTAGGTAATTAGTCTTCAATTGTATATTGGTCTCTATAACGATGTCGCAGAGCTTGTGTGCTTAACAGACATTAGCTACCCTGTATCACCTTGTTAAATAAAGCTAGGCGTGTTTAATACAATACGAGAAGAAACCATGTCGGCCTTTCTCCGAACGGGGTCTCGCAATGCACTCTAACGGGTTTCTATTTTTTGTTTTCGAAACGAGCAAGATAGACTCTCGAGTGATAAACCCAAGGCCTGATGATGCATCCAGGCCTCTGCACGCGTTTGTTATTTATACGTCCATCGATCCAGCCTCTCTGGAGGACTAATTCTGCAGTACCTTGCGCGACCACGTTTCTGGCGTGCTGCATTTTATTGTTGCTACCTCCTTTTTGAAACGAGGCGAACCAGCCCGTTTGACAAAAGATGCTACGCATAGGAGCCAGACCGAATCGTCGGACGCGGGACGAGAGATTTGAGAAAATGCGACGATCGTGCACCTATTCGACGACTAGACAGAATCATGTCGCTTTCGACTAATTTCCTCGCGTCCATTGTCAACAAAATTGCAATATCTTTTTAATATTTCGATTTACTCGAGCTCGTTTGCTCGTCTTTTTGGGTCGAGAACTATTTCTTAATGAACAGAAGTCGTTAAATAGTTCGTGAAACGAATGGCGGGTCAAGTGACAAACAATGTATCATTATGTATATAATAATTTTCATAACTGTTGCAGTTTTGTCTCTCTTATCTGTCGTGTATCTAATAGCTCTGCAGAGTCAGTCACTTTTTATAGAACTCGAACATTGATTCTATAGTTAGAGGTCTAACGCAATATGGCGGAACAGGACCTCGAGCACTTCATTGTCAACAAACGAACAAGAGCCGCGATAATTACAAGAACGATGCATAATCGTCGCATTTTCATAAAAAGGAATCTCGAGTCCCAGTTCCGGTTTCATGTTACCCGTCGATTAGGTCTGGGCCTAGCTTTCAACGAGAAAAAAAGTGTAACTCTAGAAAATGACCACTTGAACGGTGAATTTTTTCGACGTACAGTAGAACATTGATAATTGCAAAATGAAACGAGGCTAATTTCAACTGCAAGTATAAAGGTCCATGTAATTATCAAGGTAATCGATAAGAAGCCCTTGCATAGTGCATCCTCACTGTCTGTGGTCACTACAACTCCTGTTTCCTCCCTTTCATCTCCCACTGCACTTATTAAATGACCGTCAACTTCACACATTGGTAGCTAGTTCATTCACTTTTATTTTATTCATTACACATCCCATACATTTCGAACTTTAGTCATTGCTAAGTGATCATATCCACCTTCAGCTTCACACATTCCATATCCATTTCTTCTACGTTGTACTTCATCTGTGGCTAAGTGATCATATTCCATTTACTTCATAAATGCTAAGTGACCATCTCCATATCTAACTGAATTCTGAACCGAGTGACCAACCCTCAAATTCCCAACACGACCATACCCGATCCAATTGTTATCGTCGCTAACTGACCATCCCTTCCAGTGTCAACAGAAGGAAAGGAACGAGATTCTCGTGTAATTATCGACGTTCTATTGTACCCACTTCGAATGGAACGCGACTTTGTCACGTTCACGCAAAAATGTTCTTCTCCCACGTGTTTGCTGCTGTCGATCGGCAGCTACACGTGGTAACACACTGTCACTCCTATATATAGCAACCGTACATACATGTATGTATATATATGTTGTGTGTGTACATACGTGCATGTACAAACGTACCAAGAGTGGAGAGAGAGACTCGTACAGAAAAGATGTAGAGAAAGGGAGAGTTCAACCAACTTGACCCAGGCTCCTGCCCGTCTTTGGTAAGCACCATCCGCTCCTTTGTAGTCCCGTTAATCGACACTTTTCCCATTTTTTTTACGAACCGTTGGCAACGACAGTTTCATTACATAGTTTTTTAATTTTTTTTTTTATTCTCATTGAATGCCTATTTATTTAGCTGTTTTTTTTTCTGATCGAAAAGAAAAAATTTGTTCCTTTTTTTTTTTGTTTTTTATTTTTTTTTTATATGTATATATATCGATCGCGATGTACCCTTGTTTCGGCCAACCAGAATGCAATACGACCAGTCATCCAAAACCCCTCCGTGAATGATTCCACGAGAATAATAGCCGGCCTCTCGGTGTTGCGACACACGGTTGTGCAACAAATTTTTTACGAACCATCGTGATTGACAGTCCCGTCATTGTTCGCGTTTCGAACGATAAAAGATAAGGAATCGCACGATTTTTCAAAGCTGATAGTTCGTACGAAATTTTTCCATAGACCGACGTCGCCCGACCGAAGTTGAGAGTAATTCAGTCACGAGGAGGATCTACCGTAGATCCGACGCATGTTACAGAGATGGACGAAGGAGCGCGACTTTGTTGCTCGTTTCGAGAGAAGCGGGAATCTTTTGTGCGAAACGCGAGAATAACCGTCGCGAATATCCCGTTTAGATGGAAATGTTCGCGAACTTTGTATGAATTCATCGCCCTGAACTCTATCAACTTCCGTGAAACTTCTGAACGACACGTTGCAGAGCAATCTTTAGAACCGTATGCTCAATTTAACCCTTTCGGCGCTGACGCATTTATATTTGTCGAGCAAAGTATAAAAAGAGTCATAGTTTTTTAACTGAGATATTTAAATAATAAAATTGAAATTTACGATAAAAATTTCAGAACATAAGTAAATACTTTTTTATAGAGATTAAAAGAATCGAACAGTGCAATAGAAATTGTAGAGTTCCATTTTAAAGAAGAATGCAATTGCAGTTTTGAGACGTTTAATTTTACCGCCCTTTGTATCTCTACTCATTTAAGAGATGTAGCTTCTCTCAGTTACGCGGGAAATGGTGTACGGAACGGTCTGCCATGTTTGATCGTGAATTAAACTGTATTATCGATATTTGGAACCGTAATTTCCAAGTTTCACGGAAAGCTTAGCCAATCGACGAACGAGGAACGAGCGTGCCGCGCCTTCGCGCCATACTCCCACGTCCAGTGCCAACCTGATTCCCTAAAGCTGAGCTTAACTCGTCTGACGGACACGGCCAATTCTGTTTCAGGATATCGCAGGAAGCGCCGGGAATCCCGGTACCCCCGTACCACTTCATCCCGCCGGACCACATCGTTAAGTCGCCGATCCACTAAAAGTGGTGACACACACGTATGTCGTTGTCGTCGTCGAAAGGGCGCGGGGCGTCGCGACGCACGCGAGGCTGTCAATGGCATCTGGGGCTAGGCCACGCAATGTGTTCAACCAGCTTGCTAATCGACACACTTGCAAAAACGAACAGCAACAGATATGAACACACCGACAACAACAACAACAACAAAAGAACATCAACAGTGGGAGAGGGAGTCACGTACACACACGATCCTGAACATGCACACGACACACACGAAGGAAATACGCGTTGGTACACAGGTTCGGGTATCCGCGTAGGAATGGTACATACACACGTAAACCGTACACGTACACACGCATACACCCACACACAATTAGGATATTGAAACTTGTGCGCGCGCTCTCGATAACAAACAGAAAAAAAACAAAACAGAAAAAAAGTAAAAAAAACTAAAAAAAAATATGAATGAGAGGTGTACATACGAGGCAAACGCAGGAAGAAGGGATTTACTTGAGCACGCGCTTAACACGCGAGTAGAGACGAAGAAGGCACGCACGCGCGTACACGGACATATACTCGAGTGTACAAAATTGTACAAAAGATATTTAAACAAACAAAGAAACAAAAAAAAAAAAAAACGATGCACGCCGCAGCCCGGCCGGGGTTGCTGCCGATTGGTAAAGGGAACAAGCCAAAGATACGTTAGTTTTCATTTTTATATTTAAACGAGAAAAACAAAATGATACGAGAACGGGAGAGAAATACGAGAGAATTATTATAATGATTATTAATCATGAATGTGTGAACAAGGACGCTGAATACTATATTAGGCCGATTCTTAGCGTTTTTTCTATCGATGGTGTTCCGCCGTGTTGCTGAACCATGACGAATCCTGATTCTCCAGCGCTTTGGAAAGCGTCATATGTGCTACAAAAGCATTTATTCACTATACTCGGAAGTTTCTGACTCATATATGAATCAGGAGGACTTTTTATAGAAACAGTGAACGCGTCAACCCTTTGTGGTACTCGTCTCCATTTTATCGCGTGTGATGCTGTCATTGATGGTCGTTCGAGTAAACAGTAACGACTCCGATACAGCGTTCTTGCTGAAATAGTAATCTCTTGTTTCTAAAGAACATGGAAAGAGAAATTGGCGCAGAGTCGATCATGAAACAAGAAGGCATCATTGAGCCTATATTATTAACGGCAGAACAGTTACAATCAGTGTTTCAATGACAGTGAAAGTAACGTTCCTGACGAGAATTCTAACAAATTAAAGTTACAGCAACGCGAGGATTACTTCTATTCGCTCTGTTCAACCATTACGCGCAGCATCACTTGATAAATCAGATCTACCAACAGGAGATTAGACTACTGTGTGAGGAAGGTGAATTGCAAAGGGTAGTCGTTCGAGAGACTGACAGTTAATAAGTAGAAGTAGACAAAAAAGAATGAAGATTTCGATGATATTGCCCAGCATAACTTCGAATCTCTTTTTTAACGCTTGCGTTCTCTGGAATTGCGAGCGCCATTTTGAAATAGACTCCCAGCGTCCCCGATGGTGCTGTACATCGATCGAAAGAGGTTTGAATTCTGATCCATTAAAACGGTAGTGTTTCGTAGGACAAAATGGCGCGTTCCAACGCGTGGGGGATGATCCAAGGTTTGCCCAGTCGCGGAATCTCGGATCGAGGGATCGTTGGGCATGGTCTTGCGCACGCGCGGAACACCGAGGAGTGACAATTGACCGCGCGCGGTAATTACGTAGTTCCGTAGAATTTTTGCATGTGAGACTCGATTTCAAAATTGACGGGCAAAAAGAAAGAGGTTTTCTTTTCTGGAAGCGTGCCGCGGCTGGAGCGTGGCTCCCGGGAGCCGCGGAGCGTTCAACGCGCGCGCGTCAGCGTCGTCTTCGGCGAGTTGTCGCGATTTCGGGCGCGGAACAGACTCGTCGAGTCGTCGCTGGACCGCGCTCTTCAGTGGAAGGAACAAAGGAAATTATTACGTGGAATATAAATAACGATATATATTATATATATACATAATATATATATATTTATTATACGATTAAAAAACCAATGGAGGAAAAAAAAAAACAATTAGAGGAGATAAATCGCGATGAAAAGGTGCGAGCTCAATGCCCAGCTTCGATCTGGAGGCGTATACTTCATCTTCTTCTTCATCTTCATCCTACTCCGCTCTTCTTCTGCTATCCACCCATCCGTGCTTCCTTGTACGAGGGAGCCGATCGACTCGTAGCTAAAGGACGTATATTTGCTTCGACGACACTGAGCTAATCGGACGTTTTTCGGTGTATTCGTTGCAGGGTAAATTCAGTGTCTTCTTAGTGATCGCGAGCTTAACTCTGGGCTCGATAGACGATCTTTTTCGATTATTGCGTTGTGTAGCGCGGCGATAATGCGCGTCGTTTACGTTCGGTTCGGTTTAGAGACTGTTTTAGGCGCTAGTTCGGGAGAAAAAGAAACGTAGTTGGCGACGTCACGCATAGGCTGTCCAACGGTATTCCGCGTCGACCGCTTCCAATCCGTGTGCCAAAGATGCGCGAAATTTTGCGATAAATGTCGTGTTTGAAGGAGTGTTTGCGCGCTTTCCGTGCTTCCTGTCGTACATCTCTCGAAGTTCCTCGTCCTGGGCGATCCGTGTTGTCCTTTTCTGTCGAAATTTTAAAGAATTGTATCGCGTCTCGATTAATCCATACCCCCCCCCCTCGTTTTGTAGCCGAGAAGATAGTAAAAGACTGTCTTACTTTATTATTACTGTTTCTTTTCTTTCTTAATTTTTTTTTTTTTTAAGACGAAGCGTGCAATATGGCGTCACGTTCAATCTCAATAGCACCACTGTGATCGACGCTTCGTCTTGTTAAGTTCGCTCAAAATTATCGCAATCTTTTACGCGATTCGATCTTGTAAATATATATATCGTTTCTCGTTGTACATATTTATTGATTCATCTCGGATCTTTTTGTTCTCTGTTTTTTAGAGTGAAATCGTCTCATTGTCGATCAGCGAACATTCATTCGCGTATCTATTTATCGCGCGTTTCTCGATCGTGCAATTTTAATTATCGTTTTATCACGCAATCGGTTGCTTCGTCAATTTGCCCGGATGAGCTTTCAATCGAAATGAAAGACGATGCCTATTTCGCGAGAAAAAGAAAAAAAAAAATAATGGAAGTATATTTATATACGTAGAAACGTTGCGTTTCTATTCCTATATATACGTATAATTATCTAGTGTGTTTTTTTTTTACGAATTGCTAGATACACTGAGCGAAATAGAGACATATTCGTTTTTTTATATACATATATATATATATATTATATATATACGCTAAGTTAAGTATTAACTTATTTGTACTGTTATTATTTATGATAATTTTTAATGGTTGCGACGATGAAAAATTGTATGCATTGGCGTGTTTATTCGACGAAGCATTTGTCTCTTTTCTCACCTATCCAAGAGCCACGGCCAACCAAAAAAATGAAACAAAAGGAAAAAAAGACTTAAAAAAACTATCACACTCCCCCACCCCCACCCAAACACCACCCGCAGGATCTTCACGTTGTCCTCTTCGTCTTCATCATCAACCATCATCTCAACGCCCTTCGGCGTCCCGTTCTTCATTCGCAGCCCTTTGATCCCCCACCCCCCACTCCCACCCTCCACTCCGTTCTCTATATATCGTCGAACGTACGATGACGATGTACCGAGAAATACACGTAAAAATAGAAAAGAGAAAAAAGAGAACGTAGACGGTGCGACGGTCACCGACAACTAAACGACGGCATCGTCGTTCGAGCGAGAAAAGTTTATAGCCTCTGCTATGATAACAAAAAAAAAAAAATACAAAAAAGTAACACACACTCACACACGTAAGTTATATCGAAATAATTAGTGAGAGACGCTGTATGATTGTGTATATCAACAATAAATAATTGCTGTGATTAGAATCGATAATTAGTAAGTAGTTAAGGACAATTTTTAAGGCGCATCGCAAGAGAAAAGGAAGGGAAAAAAAAGCATGTGGTTTGCGCGGTACCGCGAACATATTGCATGTATGCATCCGTGTGTGTGTGTGTTTGTGCGCGTGTGCCAAGAGAGATTGAGAAGAACGGAAGTTAAACGACGGACGTACAGAGAAACAAGACACTGTGTGCCAGAGATCGAGAGAAACGATGAAACAAAAAACAGGAAAAAAAAACAAATAAAAAGCGAACGCGTTCAGGGGAGATTTAAGAAGCTTTTCGTTTTCGTTTTCCCCAAACGGCGAATCAAGTACGTGCGCGCGTGCGTGTAATCCTCCTCGATCGTCGAGAGGCATTACGCGAGTCTGCTATAGATCCGTGGAAACGGATCGATCGATTCAAGGATGAAGGAGATCAATCAGGAGGCGATTGCCGCGCGCGTTTACGTAGATAAACACAAACACACACACACACGTACACCACATTGTGCTCTCCTCGCTCGACTCGCCATCTTGGATCAGTAATCAAGGACGAAGAAAATAAGATCTACCTTGGACTAAAAAAAAAAAAGATTAAAATGTCTCGGTGTCCCTTTCGGTGCTGTGACCGCTTGTAAACTTTCGTTCATACCGGTGCACCGAAAGGTGAATTGAATTGAATGGTGAATCGACAGGGGAGAGCGCCGTCACATCTTTCTGCGCGAATCACAGTTTCGTCGCGGCGAAATGGACGAAACGGATCAAGAACTAACCCCTGAATCTCCATAATCTCCCGGTAACTTTGATTTCGACCGTGTCCCGCATGGAGAACGGTGGTCGGTGTCGAGCATTTTTCGTTTATTCTCGTCTGTTGTCGCGGGTGTCTATATTCTCGAGCTCGCGAAATGTTGTCACTGTCCACCGAGCTTCGATCAAATTCAATCCCATCGTACCCCGAGGCCCGCGATGGTTTCCCCGTATTCGTCCCTCGACCCACCCCCCTCGCTTTTGTTTCCCCTCCCGCGCGACCAGAAACCATCGTCGCGTCCCGATATACTCCAGAAGCATATCCAGTGACACATATGACTAGGCTACGAATAATTAACCTCTCTTTTGCTCCGATAAGCAAGCTCATATTTATTCGGCGTGTATTGTCATTCTCAAATAGATGATCGATTAATTGTATACTTCTTCGGGACATCTCTATCGTGTAGATACCTTCAATCAGTCGAGTCTTCGTAGTGTCTAGTAGCCGCTAAGGTATCGTCTACCGAGTGTAATTTTCGTATTAACGGTGAGAGGGAGCCGCGTCAGAAGGATCGGCTGACGAAAAGGGGTGCGATACATGCGACGTGTCGCGAAATGGAAAAGAAAGAAACGCTTCGGGGTAGCTTGTACCCGGGAATCTGGAATCTCCATAGCTTTCTTTCGGTGGCGCAACCTTATCCAGAATTCGAAAGAAACTTCGTGTACGAGTGTAGATGCTGGTACAAAGCAATTTTGAACGACCTGAAGCCTTGTACGCCGATATACACGCTGGTACAAAGTCTTCCAGTGCTTAAAACGATCTGGATCCAGGACTTGAAAGGACACGAAACTTTGTACGCTGGTATATATTCCGGTACAACGTTATCCAGGGCTCATTTGACGACCTTTGTACCCTGAAAGAATCTCGATCACTTCGACGATCGTTCACGAAGTTGAAAACGTAAACCTGATCTTCGAACGGGTACACGGTAGAGACGATCGACAGCGCGCGTGTATCCGCGACCCCTTCCCGCCTTTTTTCACATCGGAATATACACAACATACGAGCTCTAGCGATGTTCGAGCGCAAACTACGAGTAGCTCGATTCGAGGAAGACGAAGAATGGTATCCGTGTGTCGACCATTTTTTGCTCCCCCGTAGCCGTACTGGAAACGTCGATCGATCTGATCGTTCCACCCTCCCCCATTTTGTCTCGTCATTTGCCCTCGAACGAGGTTTATTGAAAAGCGAGGACGTTGCGCGCGTCAACGTCGATTAAAACACGATCGTATCGTTGTGGCGTAGAGCAATCTGTTAGTGCAGGGGCCTTATCCTTACTGCGCGGGTCCTGGCCAGGATCCGTCACGATCGCGAGGTGGACGACTTTAGTTTCCATAGGAGAATAACATTCGTAGCTTAACAATCTCAATATACATATATTCGTACGGGAACAATTATCAATCAGTTTCTACATCATGCTAACAGAGACAAAATTTGCAAAGAAAAGGTGTACCAAAGTGTTTCATGATCTAAACGTATGGTTTGCATTAGGTATTTTGAATACCCTATGGTCGAGAAACATATGAAGAAAAAAACTAAAAAAAATAAAGTTTCAAATGATATTTCATTTCGATATAAATTTATATTTAATTCGTAACGTGTAGTGTTGTAATTAATCACACACATTTGAAACTGAACCTGCCTTCGTAGCAGAAACGACAATACACAGAGTTGAACACACCGAAGGAACTTAAGGTTCTTTAACTGTGAACCCGAGAACCGACGTCAGTATTAATATCAATATCGGAAGATCGATAGTACGGAAAGAATAAAAGGAATCGAAGAGGTGCGATTAGTCGGTTCTGGTATCGAGAAATGGCGGTCGATGACGGCAGAACGCTCGTTCGTGACGGATCATAGTCGGGTGCCCAACCTTACCGTAACGCAAGGCAATCAGCTAAGAAATAACTTAGTTTTTATAGGATATTGAACACGCGCTCTACTACGACGGGGCGCGGTATTAAGGGCAAGACCTTCAATCTCTCGTCTGAAGGGCGCGTGGAACAAAGGGTCGAACGCGATCGAGCGGCCGGCCAAGATTCTCAATGGCATATTTTTCTGTAACGATTGAGAGCGTGAGTGTGAGAGAGAAAGAGAGAGAGAGATAGAAATGGAAGAAATAACGTGTGCTTACAAAGAAAACGATAATAATACGAGGGGCTAAAGAGAACTTCGAGTACGCGTGACACGTACGCTCGGGATAATAGAGTCGCAGAGATGCATGGATGCGCGCGAGTATTTCATTGTTTTCTTCTTTATGTGTGCCAAAACGAACGAGAAAAGACGGAAAGAAAATAAAAAAAAAAGGATAATACACGAGGATCGTGGTAATTGTTCGGCGTGCGGCCGAACCTTGTGCCAAGCTTAGATAATTCGCGGACTGAATAATAAACACGTGTGCCAAATCGTCGTTACGCCTCCACCGCTGCAGCTGTTTCGAGTATGGGGGATGCTCTGTTCCGTCGATCGTTCGTGCTTTCGACTCTCTCGTTGCCGCGCTTTCAAACCCGGATCCCTCGATCCAACGCGTTCTCGTTCACCTGTAGATTATTCTGGATCCGTGGGAGCGGATCTCACCGCATAGACTGTATCGCGCGAAAGCGGAACAATGAAGCTTGGACGAGGAGCGTCGCGAAAAGTCGGCATCGAGAGCGACCGGAAGGAAACGTTTGATTGCAACGTGTACGAAATGTCTGCTTTCTAGGTTGAAGCAAAAGACACTTGACACGGTCGATCCTTACGATTTTCTCGTCGTGCTCGCCGCGGAGTCCGCCGATTCCTCGCGAAGCGGCTTGAAAACCGCCCGTAATAAGGTCAAGTGGTCTTCGTCGATTGCCCCCGAGGATCCTCAATTAGGTTCCTCGAGTTTTATCCGCTTTGTTGCCAATTTTCGTGACTGGTACGGCCGGAAGAAAAGTCGGACGTCTGTGCCAAATTGACGTCACCCCGCGGCTTCGTCCGCAGAACCGAGTTTAGAACGCGGACGGGGGAAGGGTAGAGGTTGACCCCCCGACGACGCGATACAAAATAGAACGTTGCAAACTATTCGAGCGGGCAATTCGGGCGTTGCAGGCTTCGCGAACGAACAGAAAAGGAATTACGTTTTCGACGGCAGTTCAAATAGTACGTAAATTTAGCGATGTGCCCTTGTCGGGCGCAAGAGACAGGGATTATATAAAAATTAGTCTGACCTTACGAACGTTCAGAGCTTCAGTTTTATTCGCGTCGCCGTTCGCGATCCATTCGAAAGGTCGTCACGCGTTATCCAGCGAAGATAACGGGGTAGCGCGCTTCCGTTACGAAAAAGAAACCAAGCTAAATGTATTTTCTCCCATCGATGTGATTTCCAATCCCCTTACGTCTTCCCCTCTGTTCTTCGATTCCGTGTTCTTCCGGTAGTTGCACGCAAATTGTTCACGATCGACTCAGAGAACACGGTGAATGTGCTTCCGGCGTTGCGAGTCGCCGGACGATCCGCGGTAGGACCCTGAACTGAAAGTCTGATTAAAAATCGGCAGCTTAGGATCGCGAGTGCTCGTCGTACGCCATTGCATATCAAGCTTTAACGGCAACAGTAAACGCTGTAATTGGACCAATAACAACTGGGAGCTCGAGGCTAGCGATGCACGTTTTTAAAGAGACAAAAGCGCGGATCATCGCGCTAACGAAGAAAGACAAGTTTAAATATGACGGCTGGAAGAGTGAGTGATCGATAGACGCTTTTATAAGTTCAAACGCGCTGATCGAACTCCATTCGAGTACAAACCTGACTGAGAAATATCGCGAAGAATCGGAAGAGTACGGCGATCACGGTGAAAACGAAAAAAAATTATTTCCACGAGTATTTTGTACGATTTACAAGCATTACTATATTTAACCCCTTTCTTAGGTAGACCGTAGACGGCAGCTATTTTTTTAAAGACTCGAGACCAAAATGGTCGGTTCGCGAACCTCCCCGGTACGACAAAGAGACTCCATCGATGGGGACTGCATATTTTCCCAACGCCCAGAGTACCTTCCGTTGCAGTTGAAATTGTTAGGGGTCTCCGATAACATATCACGAACGTTCGGGTGTAGAGCACGACGATTCTGACAATTTCGAGAATCACGATCGAAAGATCGTGTTTACATGTTGGTCGTGCTGGAAGAGTAGAAAATTGCATTTAAAATTGAATTACACGAGGTCGACTACCGCGGATCGTTCCGCAGAGCGTATGATCATACTCGCGGCGTTCTTTCGTTTGGTCCCTTCCGGTTGGCGCGCGATAACCGTCGATGTTTCGCGCGCAGGACACAAAAGCACGTGACAGAAAAATGGTCGTCCCGTTTCCTTATGCACCCGCACCAAAATCTGATCCGGTCACAACTATGTGTGTATACTTCGGCTGTTCCTTCTCTTCTTCGTCTCCGACGTCTTTCCTTTTTATCTTCCTCGGCCGATAACGACTTATGTTGAAAAGCCTTTACGAAAACAGGGTCTTAAATACTTACGTGTAATACGAGTATTTTAAATTTTTATCGCGGTTAAAAAGAGGTAAAGAGAGAGAGAGAGAGAGAGAGAAAGAAATACTAAATAGGCGAGAGAACAAAGTGGAGAGAAACAAAGCAAGCGTAGAGTGCAATGTAACAATGAACAGAATTAACTTAATGAAATAATAATAATAATAATAAATAATAAAAGAAAAAAGCGAATAAAAATTTTTACAAAAAAAGAGAGAAAGATGTAATTGTATGAGGGGGGGAAAAAAAATGCGTAGAGGAACGTCGCGACTGCGTCTTTCAAAACGTTTCGTCGAGTATGAGGAGCGAAGCGTCGCTTTTTATAACGTGTTGCTGCGAAGAATATATATGTATGTATATGTGCGCGTAGGGCTGCATAACTGTGTCGCGCGTGCAGACGCAATCGAGCGAGGTCTGCCAGCGCACTGAATAGGGTACCGTTCTTGATCGCGGTATCGACATGAAAGTCGATTATCGCGGGCACCTGATCGAATCCTCACACATTTTAGCAACCTTCATTTTTCATTAGAAATGTGTTCTCGAGCATTTTATTAAAATAATACATAGTAATACAAAAACGAGATTCAGCTCTTTTGTAATCTGGCCCTTAATACGATTACTTTTAAAGCAAGTAAGAGTTACGTTTATTTATAATGAAGTTGGAGGAGAAGTGGTCCCGCGATCGGTCGATGATACTCCAGGGTAACGTTTTGTAAAACCTTTTCGTGTAGCGAAAGAAAGAAACGGGCAGGCGATGCGCATCCGTCGAAGAGAAATCGATCGAACGAGCCTTTCTTAGAAATTGGACGATAACGCGAGCAAGCATGGCTGGGAAAATGATACGAGACGCCTGTTAATGGGTCGACGGTGCATACGGCGTCGCGCGTGTGCTCTTGGCGTCCTCGAGACCGTTGACCGTCGCGAACAATTTTCCCTGTATACGATGAAAAGAAACGGGACCGAGATGAACGAGCATAGGCTGAACAAGTTTAATAAGATCCCTGAGATAATGACCCGAGGACCGAATGGCGAAGATAAAGGCGATTGGACGATCGTCTAGGCTTTATGTCGTGGCTAGGTCATCGGGTACTGTTTGAAAGAAGACAATAGAAGGATGACACAAACCAGTTATTAAACTTGTGGAGCTGCGCGCGTACGGTGAATGAAATTGCACGCGACTCGGGAGCACGGTTTCTTGGACGACGTGTTCTATGCGTGGCGTTGTACATACGTATACATACGTACGGACATATGTGTATATATAAACGATATACAATTACTGTAAGCGTATAAGAGATATAATTTATATATAGCTGTATTCTACGTCATCAGTGCATGTAGAACAGGCTTGCGAATGTTCACATGTGATCGTCTCAGCCGGCGTGAGAGTGCTTTAACCTAGAGACTGCGTGAGTGAGAGAGAGAGATACATATATATATACAAGAAATATATATATATATATAATAAATAGATAGGTACAGAAAGAGGGAGAGAGAAAAAATACACTATACCTTGTAGTCGACGTTACATATCTTTAAAGTTGTTCGTTTGATAGCGCGATGCCGCGCGGATTCAGCGACGCCCGGCAGCCGAGCGTTGATCTTTCTCCCAAGACCAATGTCGCGATCGACCGTGATCGATCGACACGCCGGTCGTCACGATAGCCGACAAACTCGTATAGACCCGTGAATGACACGCAGGTAACCACCCCTGGCCCAAAGTCAGTCTACATATCAGACTCTAGTTAGCACCAGGTCCCTTCTCAACTTTCGACGTTTTTACCCACGAGTACGAATTTCTGGCGTGTACGGCGATCCACGATCCTTGGTACGAGACTACGTCGATCGTGGACCGCCGTGCACCGAGCTCTGTACCCTTCGATCTCTAACCCCCCGGAGCCATGGACGTTGCGCTCATCTTGTTCCAGGTGATTACGGGCCCTCCCGAAGTCGCCTGATCGTCGTGGCCCCTGGGAGCTCTCCCCCACTTTCCACGAGACACGGTGCAGTCGGTGAAACAAATGCAACGATTCTCTGGGAGAGCAGCTAGCGTTATAACGTTAAACGATGAGCCTACATCGAGTTGTCTCGGTGGTTTGCAATTTTTACGCGATGGTTGCGTTTCTTCCACCGAGTGTACGTCCCAGAGACCTAGATTATTCGTATCGCCAGTTACCGCTACTAACGTTGCTATTCGCCGCTACCGACTGCAGCTGTAATCGCCATCGATACCGCTACCGCATCGCCCCGTTATCTGACAGCCAGTACAGATCGCGCACCGCGGTCGAAACTACGTCGAAACGGGAATAACGAACGGCCAGACTCTTTCGAAAGGACATCGTCGGTTCATTATTGCTATAGTAGCGTTTTTTCACGGAACTCGATCACAGCCGCGTGCTTCTCTCCCCCACTCGTCGTCGTTTTCTTGATCCTCATCGCAGCGGCGCTCCATTCGATCACGTGTGCTGAGAGAAAATATACGTAGAATTAGTTCGATCGGGGGAACTTGACTGGCCGCTCAAGGTCACCGACGAGCTATCCCCCGCCACATCGAGTACCTTCTATACTAGGGAGAATGGTCCTGGATGGAGCTTAGATCTAGCGATCAGAATTTTTGGACAAACTTATCTCACTACGTGTCAGCATTTCGTATTAGGTGCGGACTAGTGTCCGTAGAATGAACAACATCACTATCATGAAAACGCAACTTACAGGCGAAAAGACTGATTTCTCTCGCGCGAACGCGATTCAGGGACATTCTTTGTAGCTCCTTGCAGTACGTTTGTAACAGGGGGGCAGGGATAGAGCGTGAGAGCAGTGACCTTGAACTGCCACAAAATTCGATCTGACCGTAGAGTACTGTTTTATTCGAAGAGAAATACGATTGCTTCGAAGGGCAGAATGTGAACGAAAAATTGTCAGTGATCCTTGAAATCTCGTAGCATTTAGCATTCGCCTCTTCGGGGCAACCATTTCTTTTCTTCGGACAACGTTTCGCTTCGTTAAAGACAACATGTATTTCAGATTGTAATTAAGCGATCATTGCTATAATGTATTTAACGAAAGAAAATATCTTTTAACAAAGTATTTTGTTAATGTTTTACATTGCTTGTACGATCGAAAATGGAGAATATTTCTCTCAGCGCGTAGTCTTACCAACGTTTCAGTATCCGTTCATCGTCGAAATTTACTCCGTGGACGTAGCGAATGTTTATTGTGATAATCATTGGAGATCGTTCCCGCGGATGTATAGCGACGTGCTATGGAACGTCGATAGAAAGGTGAAAAATGTTAAGCGTTTACGATCATTGGTCAGCGTTATTGGTACGACTGTCGATGTGTGTTTTCATCTCGCGAAAACGAATCTTTTCACGGCAATCTATTTGTTATGTATCGGTACCGTCGATACTTTTTACGTAAATCGATAAGTTGTTGATTAGTTGCTATACGTGGGAGGACGATGAATCATCGTACGGTGATCACAAAACGATCTAGACCTGAGATTAGTCGAATATTTTTGTATTCAAACGCTTCAGAGATTCAAATATTCGGCGAATATAATTCGAATAACCAAGTACACAAATACACTGATCAAATATTAAAATATTCGTAATATTCGAACAGCGTAGACCATAAATCAAGTTTTTAAAATCTGTCTGTCTATTTTAAACTTTACTTTTGTTTAAGATGTTTTATTAACGCCATTCTATAACAGTGTTTCTGAAAGCTTCTTGTACACCCCTTAGAACAGAATAAATTACTTCGAAATATATTTAGAGACTGTTTTATAATAAACTCTATATGTTTTAAATTCTTATTTAATTTGAACTTCTTATACGTTGTTTTAAATTAAAAAATCAAACGAAGAGAAACACTGTTCTTTGCAACATCTTTGTTTTGAGAAAAAAAAATTTATGTGCTTACATTTTCTCTTGCTGGAATATTTGTAACACGAATTCCGTTAATTTTTTCGTGGAAAAAGACTTATTTAATCTCTATTTGAATAACGATACTTGAATAAAGATGTTCAAATAGTAATATTCGAAGTATATCAGTAGCATACGAATACCTAAAAAATATCTAAATATTAAATCATCGGAATAATCCCAGGCTCATTTGAAACGACTATCTTTTTGATAAACAAAGTAAACGGTAAATAGTTGGCGAAACGAACATAGAAACTGCATTGACGTCTTCGCTGCAGTTTTTCTAATCTCGCTGTGTTCGTTCCACCTATGTTGCGTACGCGTAGTATAATGGAAAATACAGTGGAAACCGTTACGATGATCGGCGTCCTCTTATTTTGTTTTCTTCTTTCTTTGTAATAAGCTTTTATTGCTCAAAAATTCCCTCTCCGCCACTACGGAGAATGTTTTCCATTCTTGCCAAACAGTTCGCGAAACCGGTGTCGATTTGTTTGCGCTTAACCGCGCGTGACGAGCTAACCCATTCGCGCGACGAGACGTATTTCGTTTTGCATCGGCGAACGTTTCGTTCGATCCCCTTCTTCGAAACGGGAGACAGGATTCGTGTTGAACGATGAACATATCGTTGCACGTACACGAACTCATTTTGTTGCGCTTCTGTACGCGCGGCGGCGCAAAAGCGGTCGAGAGTCGACGATTCCGCGCGCGCGACTCTCTATTTGCGTTTACCGTTCCACTTTCATGTTCGGTTGATGTCAGGATATCCAGCGAATTGTACGTGTATATAAAATGTGCAAACACGCACCCATACACACATACACATACACGCGTAGGGACAAGCAAAAAAAACACATACACACGCGCATTGTAATTTATCGTCAATGTTACTTGAGTGTCCGTTAAGGCTTCCGAGCGATGAATTATTCGTTCCGACAGATATAATTACGAAATATATAATACACGTATTATAACGTATACATATAATATGTATATTATGTATCGTATACAGGGATATGTAGCCCGCACAGGTATCCACGACCAAAAAGTGCCGAAACATTGGCGAGAAATATCGAAGGAACAGGGAGGGGGGAAAAATGTAATGAAAAATTATCGTTTCAAGATATATATCTCGTACGGCGCACGATCGAGATAATTGAACCACGAGCGATCGCGCGTGACGCAGAGAACCACGAGGTACACTCGTTTCGAACAGTACTCTCATGCACGCGTACACACGCATATACATATATGTATATATATATATGTATACATTAACAAAGAACACGAAGGTTTTCGCATCCTTACAGCAGCAGCTGCACCTCTTTTTTGATTCTCACACGCACTCACACTGATCTTCAAATCAAACATTCTTTTTTAGCGGTCAGAGAGAGGGATCGCGGATTTACCAACGCTCGAATAGGGATTTAATGTTTGTAAGGGCAATAACGATTGTAAATTTTTCAAGTACACTGTATTTGAATGTATAAGTTGCATAAAAAAGACAGATTTTTTAGATATTGCACTATAATATTTATTATTCTAAGGTAACGAGACAGGGTCGCGATTCGCCGCGCTCGCGATACCTCGCCCGCGCTCTCCTCCTTTTGGCCTCGATCGCGTTCGATTCTCGACACGACGGGATCGACAGCGAACGAGCTTGTATCAATCGCCACCGCGGTAATTTCATTTTCCATCCTCGTGAAGTTTCGAGCGTTTACCAATTCCGTGCGAGGAAACTTTATTAGCGATCGACGCCGAGTCGCAAGCGCGGCCGCTTCGCGGCGATCATGAATTAATATTAATATCAATTAATAAAGAGGCAAAGCGAATGCATTGTTCTTTCCAATAAAAGAAGAAGCAAGATTTTTAGTGTTTACACTACAATTGATAAACGATTCTATTATTACATAATATTATATTAATAACAATATTATTACTGTAATGTTTGTTTTTTGGTTATTAAAGTGTGTATATAGCAATATATTCTAGAAATGGTCTCTCTTGTTCAGTCTCTTGTTCACTAACCTCCCAAACACCATATTGCTACTCTTTGACTATATATCTATGAAATAGGAAACTATCGATCGTTTTGTCACGTTTTTTTTTACAAAAATTCGTGAAATAATGTGGAAATAAAAATATCAAACTATTAACAAAACTTTTCGTAATATATTCTCTTAATTAAAAAGTATATATCATCTCCTAAGGAATGTCCATAAATTAATCTTATCTACATATAGGATCCCATGATCCACTAGGGACATCCTCCCACGTCGGATGCTCCGAGTGGAGTGAACCCTTTCGGCAGCAACGGTTCTATTTATACCTTCCCGAAAGAGAACAAGATGGAGGGAAAGAACCGCGTCAACGAGTTTACAATTAATTTGATCTACTGATAAATAAATATCTTATGCAAAACGTGTATGCTACGCGTTCTTTAGAAATCTATTAATCAGTGTACAATGTATTCAAATACTCACGTACATTCGAATTATGTTAATTGAATATTTAAATCACCGCTGTATTCGAGAAGTAGTTTTGGCGCTGTACTCGAATACACAAGTCGATCTTAGCTGACAGATAAACACGTGCTGTTAGGTTTCGTTGATATATCTTTAATATGTCGTCGAACGAAATGGAAGTAGACGATGAAAGTGAAACAAAGCCAATGAATTTCCACGAGTTAGATTTAGACGATAGAATATTAAAGGTATGGGAATAAATATATCCTTTTTAAAGTAGAGGTTATATTGCAAAGTGAACGTGTCTATTCGTTAGAAATCCAGTGTTTATCTTTATATCAAATTACAATATTTTAGGCTGTTGCAAAATTAGGTTGGTTAGAGCCTACACTGATACAAGAGAAAGCAATACCATTGTTGTTAGAAGGGAAAGATATTTTAATTAGAGCCCGTACAGGGTCTGGTAAAACAGCTGCGTTTGCTATACCACTGATTCAAAAGATTCTGTTGAAAAAACGAATGCAACAGAAGCAAGAAATTAAAGGTCTGATTGTAGCTCCAAGCAAAGAGCTATGCAAACAGATACACGAAGTAGTAGTTAGCTTAACAATAAAATGCAGCAGAGAAGTAAAAGTTGTTGATGTCAGTCCACAAATAGATCTGAGTGCACAGAAACCATTGTTAGCAGAGAAACCTGACATTGTTGTTGGTACTCCAGGCAGATTATTACAACACTTAAAAGCTAATAACATGAAGTTGAAAAATTCCCTTGAAACATTAATAATCGATGAAGCTGACTTGGTATGTGGTTTTAATTTAATATGTGGAATTTACACATAACAATGTTATTTTTATATCATAGGTATTTTCATTTGGATATGAGGATGAAATAAAAGCTCTGTTGCGTTATATGCCAACCGTATACCAAGCAGCTTTAGCTTCTGCAACTTTGTCAGAAGATGTTGTGACTCTTAAAAAAATGGTACTTCATAATCCAGCAATTTTAAAATTAGAGGAACCTCCATTAGCTCCTCTGTCTCAATTATCACACTACAGCCTTGCTGCAGAAGAAAATGATAAGGCTGCTATTTTGTATGCTCTATTAAAATTGACTTTAATTAGGTAATTGTAATTGTATCAAAATTAATATAATGGTTTCACAATAATGTAAAATTTAATTTATTAATTTTTTTCTTTACAGGGGAAAAACTATTATCTTTGTAAATACAGTAGATAGATGTTATAAATTAAAGTTATTTTTAGAACAATTTGGTATACCTACCTGTGTTTTAAATTCCGAATTACCAGCAGTTTCAAGATGCAGGGCAGTCAATCAATTTAATTCGGGTACATATGACATTATAATAGCATCGGACGAGAAATCATTGGAAGAAGTAAATATCAAATTTATTAATTATGTAAACGTTAATCGAAATTTGTAATTTGTATCATTAATTACAGCCTCATACGGTAAAAGTTAAAGGAAAACGGAGGAAGGACAAAGAGTCTGGTGTAGCGCGTGGCATAGATTTTCAATTTGTTTCTAATGTGATCAATTTTGATTTTCCGCCGGATGTAAACTCGTATATTCATAGAGCTGGACGTACTGCACGTGGCAAGAACCAAGGAACAGCACTGAGTTTCATAGCAATAAAAGAAAGACCTCTGCTTGAAAATGTCGAGGAAGAATTAAAACATTGCTACAATCGCGATAGATTGTTTAAAACATACCAATTCAAATTAGAAGAAGTCGAAGGTTTTCGGTATGTAAAACTTTAACGTTGTGCTCGAAATTGATTCTGACGCTTAGTTTATTTTCAGATATCGAGCAAAAGATGCCTGGAAAGCAGTGACGAGAATAGCCGTTCGCGAGGCGCGTTTAAAAGAAATAAAACAAGAGGTATTGACTTGTGAGAAATTGAAAAGCTATTTCGAAGACAATCCGAGAGATTTGCAATCGTTAAGACAAGACAAAGCACTTCATACCGTGAAATTACAACCACACCTGAAGGACGTGCCCGAATATATAATTCCACCCACTTTGAAAAGGCTTGTCGGCGTTGGTAAAAAGAAAAAGAATTTTAACAGAGGTGCTGCTACATCCAGATCCACTGCTACACAATTAAAGTATCAAGCACGCGCATCGAATCCGCTAGTTAGTTTAAAAATACGAAAATAAATTGTACATAAATATATTTTCTTTAACTTTGTTTATTTCCTGCCTTTGTTCGGTATAAATAACACTCTATTAAAATGTGTAACTTCATAAGACCTCATACATTCAGATTGTACAAAATTGTAGATGAAAAATTACATACTATTCAAGTATTTTTTAACATGTACAGTAGTGCCCTCTTAAATGTCCGCGGTTATCCCCACCAATTCTTAGAAGCCAAACGGTTTCGAACATCGAGCGTAACTTGACGCCAGTCGTTATCGATACATACATCGTATTATATGGTTTCGGGTACCAGCTATTGTATCTCACTCGCACTTATCCTCTTTCTTTATCTCTGTTGAATTCTGAGAAGGAAACATGCCCACATAAATGACCGCGGTCGGTTCCGAGCGTGGTCACTTAAGTGGGCACTACTGCAATATCAGAATATTATACTTATAACCTACGATTTTTCTGTAATTCCCTTTGGCTTGTATTTTTTTCTAATACCGTCGTTAAAACCTTCTCTATTCCTGGCAAGTTCAATGGCATAAAATTGTATTCTAGTTGTGAGTATACTGTTCTCTTCTGAGTAATCTCCGTCACAATCTGCTCTCAACAATGTACCAAAACTATAATCTTCTACAAGCCCTTTGAACTGCTCGCAAAATGGTCTCCACTTTATCTTCCCCTCTGGTGACTTCAATTCATCTTCATTTATTTTATTCACTTTTAGGTCAGGGAATACATCTCGAAAGGTTTTGTATATCTGTTCATCATGAGGGGTGAGTTTCAAAAACTTAGGATCGACAGAACATAAAATCTATAATAGAAAAGTATTTGATATTTAAATCTTTGCTTGTTCTTGTATGTAAACAAGTATTTTGAAATTATCTTTACATTAAAATAAACTTCTGCATGCTCCATTGCTTTCATTGCCCACATGGCTTCTACAGAAGGCTAAAAGAACATGCAAATATATTTGTAATTACTTAAGGTAATTCAATTGTTCAATTTTTTTAAACTGTAACTTACATCATTGTCAAATTCTTCTGCAGGTCTGGACAATACATCAGATCCAGCTAACAGTTGATCTGCAGTCTTAAAATTGTGACAAATTACGTTTAGTCAATAGACGTGCTTCGATCAAAATAAAAAATAGAAGTACATTTAAACACAAAAGTGTAAATATGTTATAAAGGTAGAGTTACAATATAACTATGTTTTGAACTAGTAATACAATATCTGTATTAAACGAGACGTGTCATGTTTCGAGCAAATTGTTTCATCGTGACTTTAATCAAATTTAAGATAAACATTGAACGAAAAAATATACGGTAGGTTAAGAGTCACTTTCGTACGAAAAAATTTGTGGAATTAATACAAGTTCATTGTACTCACAACATCTCCAATGAACGCCATTTCCTTGGTATTTAGAGACAAGTTGGTATCCGAAAATGATCAAATATTTGCCGCGATGTTTATAACAATGTTATACTTTAAAGATCGAGGATCGAACGTATAATACACATGTCACGCAGCCGAAACACACGTGCGGCGCAACAGAGGAAAGTGATAACGCGAACAGTTCAGAACCAATCATTGTTCCGGTTTCATAGCAGCTGCTACTACGATCAGTACGATCGCCTACAATCTCAATGATATCGATAAACTAAATTATTCTATCTTTTTCATCAATTTTATAAAGAAGATTTAAAAAAGAACAGATCTGTGATAAATTTGAACAAATATGGTTGGCACGAACGACATCAACGAAAGCGTATTAAAATTGATAGGCGATATTCATTATGGGTGAGAAGATAAGTTTGCCTAACCTGAAAATGAAATGAAGTGTTACAATATTTTGTGTTTTTAGTGATATTACAGGTACAGACAATATCGTGGCGGCTACTATGTCGGTTTTAAAAGAAATTATAAATAATACGGAGTGGACCACTGCTCAGTACGAATTGCATTTCTTTTAATATGTGTGTGTGTTTTCACATAATCCTAAGAAACACTGAATGAAAAAATGTCTATTTTTATTAGTCTAGTACAGATCTGTCAGCACAGTTATGGCCTTAGATATATCACGAAATTCAAGAACTTCATGAAAAATATTTTTATATAGGTGCAATAACATTGTTGTGATTCATTCGTGTTTCCTTAGGTCTATGTAATGTCAACTAATAGTAAATCATTTTAATATAAACTATAAAGATACATTATTTTAATTACATACTTTTATTTTAAAAGGAATCTCATAAGTGTAATAAAAGAGAATGGAAAACATTTAGTAGGAGCTATTCCTCTTGAGTTCTCCGTTGGAAACATGGTAAGAAGGATATTAAAAATAATTAGGGAGGAATATACTTCAGAATTACAGAATAAAACTGAAGAAACAGATCCACAAGAATCATTGCATAAAATTCTTACTGCCGAAGGGGATCAACAAATTGATTTTAACGTTTGTGTACCTTCTTTGAAAGAAGCTCTTATAGAGCATATTAATGAGTTTGAGGTTGAATTAGAGACTTGGTTAGTCACAATGATCAGTAGAAATTATTTCTACAATGCATATTTATTACAAAAATACATATTCTTTCAGTGCAGAAAATATTACAGAACAAGCTTCAGAGCATATTCATTCTAATGAAATTATAATGACATTTGGTAAATCAAAGTTAGTAGAAGAATTTTTCAAAAGAGCTGCAGCAACAAGAGCATTTGAAGTTATAGTAGCAGAAGGTGGACCTTCTTTAAGTGTATGTATAAAACAGATATTTTATTTGTTATGTATGTAGTTAAGTAAGGTTTGATGTTTATAGGGTCATGAAATGGCAGTGAACCTCGCGAAGGCAAAGATTAAAACGACTTTAATATCGGATGCAGCGATTTTTGCAATGATGTCGCGCGTGAATAAAGTAATAATTGGCACACACGCAGTTATGGCAAACGGAGGGTTAAGAGCGATCTCGGGTGCGCATATAGTTGCTCAAGCTGCAAAACATTACTCTGTTCCAGTAATGGTGTTATTGCCACTTTATAAACTTTCTTCCCTTTATCTTTGTTCACACGAACAGGATGGTTTTAATAAACATGCTTCACCATTCCAAGGTGTAATTAACAGTGCCAATGCACCCTTGTTAGAAAGGATTCATGTATATAATCCAGTTTTTGATTATGTACCACCAGAACTGGTTACATTATTTATTACAAATACGTAAGATTAATGAAATTAACAGTTTTATTTGTTATATATACAGTAGTGTCCACTTAAATGTCCGCGGTTATCCTCACCAATTTTTGGATGCCAAGCGACTTATTCTCTTTCCGTATCTCCGTTGAATTCTTCTCCGCGGACACTTAAATGGGCACTACTGTATTACCTACTGCTATACATTAACGATATATTTTTATTTCAGAGGTGGAAACGCCCCATCATATGTTTATAGATTACTCAGTGAATTGTACCATCCGGATGACTATGAATTATAAAGGATAAACATATTTATATTTGTATATTTATACTACAACACTCTTAAATAGTTAACAAAATATCTATACTTTCTAAATAATTTTTCTATAAACAACTTTATTAGTACCGAATAATAAAGTTTTTTATTAACAGAAATATTTATTTACATATTAAGATATATACAAGTAATACAGTTTAAAAAACACATTTTGATATTCTTGTGGGTTCAAAATTATTGAATATTAATATAAAAAAAGTACACAAATATGGTCTTTTCACATTTCTGAGATATACTTTAAATTAGTATTGGGTTTACTATACGTAGGGATTCCAATTGCTACCATCCTCAGGTTGCAAAGAATCTGTTACCAATAATATTACATCAACCACCCACCATACTCCTATTCCACCTAATGTGAACAATTTACCTACTGCAGTACCTGCTTGCCCTAAACAAAACCGATCCATACCTAGGAAACCTAACAATATACTGTATAGTAAAGTACTAACAAAATAATGATCACTGTACTTTATGCAGGGAACTCCTTTGCGATCAAATGTTCTGGGTCCATAACATTCTATATCTGGTAATACTGTACAGGATACTTTGGTCTTTTCAACTTTTTCATACCAGGAACCTCCAAACTAAACAGAAAACGACTAAAAAGTCGGTACTCGATATATATTTTTACACGTTCCACGTGTATATTTATGAATGCAATACTACCTTTACACAACCATATCCAGTTTCGTCTTTGGCAGTTTTATTACCTTTATGATCGAACGGCTCTAGGCATTCTATAAATTCTTTCGGCCTGCGATAAATTATTTAACCAAAAATAATAATCGTTAAAGGTAAACAAATGTCTGACACGAAACGTCAAACAGATTACTTGACTACTTACAGAAATTTGCACAGTACCAACGGACCCTCGGGTCTGTACTCCTGTTGAAAATCCGTGGTTTTGTTCGTTGGCGCGATCCCCGAACTTATTTGCAAATCCCACAAAAAGCAAATGAGAACCAAAACCGAATATCGTAACCTCATCTTGCTGAGTTTGACATGTTTAAATCCACAACTATACAACAGAGGTTATAAAAAACGCGTTAACAAAGTGCATTTCCAACAATGCGTTATGTGCAAGTGTAGAATGCGCTTTGCGTAAAGTAGCTCCCTGATTGGTTGGAGATTTTCAGAACACGGGGATTCGTAATGCGAAAGGAGAAATAAGTTAATTATTAATTATTATTTATATTTTGCCAAAGAGAAAAAAAGAAATTAGAGTTTGATTTAGTGGTGAAACTATCGTGAAGGAGAAGGGGTAGCCGAACTTGAGGATTTTCCCACGCGTGGCGCCAGTCGTTGTCGTCGGGGGAACGAGCCAATAGTAGCACGCTTCGTGCGGAATGATCCAGTCACGAAGCATTTACTCTCCTTCCCTCGACGCGCTGTGATTTCGGAATCATTCGGTCGTCCGCTCCCAAAGAAATTTAGTTTTGTCGTGGATCGGGGACGTGTTTTTCCGTGCTCGGTGGAAGGTGCGAAGTAGTGGTTGTGCGACCGTAAACAAAGCGATTGTGCGTCGCGTACGCGTAATATCTTTGGAGCGGTACGATTCGTGGGTGAAAATCTGTACATATGTACGGAAATATGCGAGAAAGGGAAGAATTTTGTCGAAGTTTTCCACCGGGACAACCGACCCAGCCGCCGACGGCTCAGGCCCTGGGCCTTGACGCTCTGCACAGCCTTTGTAAAGAGATATATCCCGACCAAAGTAATCCGCTCACAGTCACCGCTGTCGTGAAGTACTGGTAAGAATTCTGTCTATTACCCGTTTAACGCGACGACGAAAAGCGATTTTCAATCATTGAAATACATTAGATCCCAATGGAATTCCACGATTGACATTCGTATCACGTTGCTAGACAATCGACAATTGTATTACATTTCTATCAACACTGTTGACGACGTAGTACGTGCATATATTTTTCTTGCATCATAATAAATTGAAGACACAGTCGTTTTTTGTATTTCTTAAAATTAAAAAAACAATCATCGAGTTTTGTGTATTTTTCATTTAGACTACTTACTAAAATTGTTTAATTTTCGCAATTTTTGGGGTAAAAACGAATTTACGAAGTTTTCTTTTCTTTTCGTAATTTTTCTGTCTACTTAAAATATTTAAATTTGCGTAGTTCCATTTATAAATGAAAGTATTGTTTCGACGTAAGTGGGGTGTATAAATTATTCCATTGTTCATATATTCATATATTTTTTATTTACGAAATTTCGAATGCCATGAAACACGTGTATCCTGAAATTGAATTATTCGTTAAAGTGCATCGTAATGACACATGTTGTTAATTCTGTTTTTTTTCCCGTTGATTTCCGTACTTTTTCGATCTATGTAAAATCGAAGAAACTGCAAATACTTAGAAAGGTAGTTCGTACCGCGTTTTAGTACAAAACTCCTTCCACAGGCAGGGAAGCCGGCTTATATTTAGTCACCCTTAGTCGAACATACGTTTAACCGGATGTAAAACCGAATAACAGAGATTTTCTGTGCACCTTTTGCCTAGGTTGGGGGGTCCCGATCCTCTCGACTACATAAGCATGTACGAAAATCCTGGCTGCCCCGAATTGGGCATACCGCCACATTGGCATTACATCAGGTAAGTTCCATTGTTAATTTTTCATAATTAAAATTTATTCATTCACCTATTTTGTTTTTATTTCACTATTCCATGAAATATTCGTTTATAAATAAATTCGAAACGAATACTATTTATTTCGTATTGTGCAAAATGACGCGTAATTCATTTTATATTTAAATTTTAATGTAATAATACGAATTCTCGTTAAATAATTCGCAATTTCCTTTGTGTCGTGTTCATTTCTCGAAACGACGTTCCTTGTCGTGTGTCGTTCGTTCAAGAAAGATGGGTCATGTTTTTCCCCTTTCTTTTCTTCCATAAAAAACAGGGAAGAATCCGAACGTAAAAAAAAAACGGGAAGTCGGGTATTCGTTAGTGTCACCCTGTTGAGCAGTTGGAGTTTGCCTTTGATGCGGTGTGTGTTATTTTTCCGACACACTCTTGATGACACGTGCATACCGTGCCCATTTCTGTCATTAAGAAATTTCATTTATCATACAACTATAATATGATAAAACAAGAAGAAACATTTTAAACGTTACGATTTATAATCTATGCTTGAATAAAGAAAAGTTCTCATTTTCATTATTGGAATAATTTTTAATACGCGTGATTTATGAAGAGAGTTTTATTCTTACCGAAACATTCGTAGGTCGTCGCGCTGACTCATGTTTGCCGAAAGACAAATGAATCCTCGTTTCAGGAATTCCTTATTAAAACTTAGGCGCCGAATGACGAATGGTCTGCCGCGAAAGGGTGTTCCTTTTTTTTTTTCTTCTTGATACGTGACCCTTCCTTCTTCAGTCTGCAGCAGCTGTTCCAATAGTTCCCTCTTTCTCTATATATAGAAAGTGTAGGGTACAGGAAGATAAAGCTGTTTAAAATGCGACGGCGTCGGAAATAGACTCGCGGGACTTCCCCTTTTCCGTCTGTTCTATCTAAATATGTCCCGCCATTGACTAAACCTATTCTATTTTTCCTGGATCAAGTCTAGAATTATATTTGTCCCGCCAATTCCACGTTGTTCAAGGTCCATAAGTTCTGCACACTTTTGCTTTAGCTATTTCCGTATTGCTTCGGGTATTGAACAACAGTAATATTTCTTGATTAAAGTTTGGGTTTGTCGGATTTGCACGGAGATGGAAGGATACATCCAAAAAGCGGTCCTGGTCGTCCAAGTGGTTTTGGATTTGAGTTGACCTTCAGATTAGTTAGAGAAAGAAATGAGATGAGCCCTCCTACATGGCCTGCGAACGTAATGCAGCAATTAGCAAAATACGTTTTTAATTCTGGGAACATGTTGTTGCCTGGTGATCATGTATCGTGGCATGCTCCATTGGATAATGGAAATGGTCGTATCACGCAAATTTTAATGGGCAAGGATCCGCAATTACCAACATCTATATGTACACCTCATGGGGATGTAAGTTGACTACTGTATTTAATATTATTCAGAGTAATTTGATTTTAATTTACGATGAGATTACATGTATGCTGAATATTATGTTTCTGACTGTTGATGCGTAATGTTACAGGTTTCATTTGTTCAAATTGTAGGAGTCACTTCTGAAGAATTACAAGCTGCACAGCATTGGAACGGTTTAGGTCTTGTAAGTTTATTAAAGACCAGCCGTGGTTGTGGACCATGGCTGGTAACAAATATGAGACGGATGCATTCTATTATGGAGGATGACCCCTCCATAGCAGAAAAAATACAAACCGGGATAGAAAAAGAAGGTTCTAACTTGAGCGGTGTATCTGCAAAGTGTTGGTTTGTATCTTAGATTAGGTCTGTGGTAAATTTAACTGATCCTCGGAATAGACATTATATTTATGAATTATTTTGTAGGTGGGTTCAGGTGAACAATGATAGGAGTACAGAAAAATACAGGGACAAAAGAAACGAATCGGACGAAGAAGACGAGGATATTAAACCAGTTATAAAGTCAGAAAGATTATCTCCTTGTGAATTAGAGCTAAATTTATCGCATGAAAGTTTTATTAAAATCTTACCAGGACTTCATTTAACGTTTAATCTTGAAGCTGGATCTTTATTACCATTAGCAATAAAGTATATATCCTTGTAATATATTACTATTGTATAATAGATTGCTAGTCGAACAATAAAAATACGACCGATTTTGCAGGGGCCGTGTTATGCATGGGAGGCATTTCACGTTCAAATCTATATTGTCCAATACAGCTGTTACTATAGTTGCACCATCAGTTACCGGTACTCTAGTTTCTAGGGAAAAACCATATGTAGTTCAAGGACCATGGCTGCAAGTGTTACTTCCAGAAGATTTGTCTGAGAAAATGGCCCAAGAGTTTCAAATTTTGAATTCGACGAATCAGGTAAATAATATTGAAAGTGATTTTATAGGTTATACTACTTTTACGATTAAAAAATTTTATAGGTTATACTACTGTTGATTTTTAAACATTCTACAGGTTCAATTGCCAAAGACATTTTCGTGGCCTGAACATAAACTGGTTATTACCGTAGTAAATGACTGAGCAAATATAAAAAAAAACGATTCACATTTTAGTACCTTTAAACGCGTTAGAATACAAATTAACATAAACAAAGTATTATCTAATTTTATTAAAAAAGTGGGTTTCAAAGAACTTATTTATAATTTCAACGCGCAAGTGCGATTACCGCGCGAACGGAACTATAAGACTTCGCATTTCAACGTGTAAAAGAGAAGGCCAATTATATTTAATATATTTCGTGCGACCTAGAAAATATATTCTCTATTTTGGCAAGCAAAGATTTCAACGCCTCCCTTTTACAGATTGATGCCCGTTAACAATTTCTATTTAATTGTGTACATAATAGAATGGAAGTTAAAAAAAGGTGTAATTGTATTTGATATACGAGTTTACACGTTGTTACGACTAATGAACATTTTTGTAAATAGATAAACCGAAAATTCTGGCATTATTTTCGTCAGAGCCTTGTACCAATTTTTATAAAAAGAATGTGTAATAAAGTTAAATGTAAAGTATAATATTTATAAGAAAATATAGCAGTTTATTTTCCACGGATTTCTTACGAGTTACATGCCCGATCATTCTCGTTTTCTAAATGTCTCGATCGCTAAATCTGCGGAATAAAAGAGTTTTTTTTTTTTAGAGCTTGTCGATGAAGAAATGCAATTTTACTGGTTTATCGATAGTTTTGATATGGGTTTTTAGGCGACTGTTGTCTATCCTGTATTGTGTATTTTATGTTCGCGTGAAAAATTAATGTGTTCAATTTGTTTTTTCTCACATCCTCGTCTTCTATTTTATTTTAGCACATCTATTCTTCTTCCGTGAGATCGGCCTGTGGACGACGTTTCACGTTACGCCGATTATTCCTCCTCTTTGTCCTTTTTCTTACGGGACAAACACACTGTCCGAGTTTCGCAGCTGCTAGATTATTGTTATTATTTACGTTCGCCGCGCGTCGTTGGCCAAAGAGACGGAACATGTTGATTCCAGGGCTCTGAAAGATATTGGCGTGACATTAAAACTGTCGAGCGAATGATTTTTCTGTTAGTGTTCAAATTATCGCTGCTGAGAGCAGACGGTTAAAGTGAAGTGGTAAAAATTGGAGATGAACGAACAAGACTGGATCGTACAAGAACGCAACTTAAAGTGTGACGGTACGTTTAAACTAATAATAATACCTAAAATGTGATTATTTATACAAAAACGAACGGAAATTGAATTCTTTCTCTGTCGGGGCAAAAACCAGATAACACGCTTAAGTTAAAAACAATTCAAATTCATTTGTGCAACGAGTTGCTAATTTTAGAAAAGAGACACAGTCGGAATATTAATTAAGATTCGTGAATGTTGTGATTACCTGGTTTTTGTGCCGCGGTCTTCCATTGTGCGCAGGAACAAAACGTTATTTTTTTTTCAGCACATCACGAAAGCTTTTAAACCCACGTCATTTCGTTGTACGTCTTGCCTCTAAAAATCAAAGCGTGCTGTTTGTCCGGTTCGATCGTAATTTTAATGAAACGCAAAAGTGATTTAAAAAATTCAATTTCAGCCCGAGTAGAAGTAAACGCTAAAGTTTTTCAATTAACTTCGATTAATGGTTAAACGAAATTAAATGGCGTTCGAAGAGCTTCGTTCGAGGTTTCTCCAGCGTGGAAAAGAAATATAAAAATATAGCCTAACGCCTCGTATAGAATTATGGAAGGTTCCCTACTCGTTTGAACAAATTCCTGACGATCTTGATGGCTCCTATCCAAAGGAGAACGACGATACACGCGGTCGCGAATTCCTCGACCTCTTCGCGGGTGATGTTCGAAACGACGTTAACGATTCCCCGGAAGACGTTAGCGAACGTTTGCATGGCCTCGATGCAGAGGTCCCGTAGGTAGCAGATCACCTGGAAAATCAGGTTCATCACCGCTAGTGTAAGCTCGATTAACCTCGCCAGGAAATCGAGAAAGATGTCCAATAACTTGTCGAGGGTTTCCCACAGCCAGCAGACGACTCGCGAAAAGAAATCGACGAACCGTTCCGAGACGTTCGACTCGTGATTTTTCATGATTGAAGCATCTGGCCAAACCCCAGCCTCTTTTGCATAGCTTCCTCTTCAATTTCTTCCCAATATTTTACACCGTAGCCGCGAACGAATCTCGCGCCAGAGCCCCAACGACCCAACCGTTGCTCAGCATCGAGGTCGACTGTGATTTTGGATCTTTGTTCTTGTGTTTTTCTCATTTTTATTAGTATCAGCCTTTATACTTAAAACAAAACGCGAAGTTGTCGCTGAATTGCACGTCTATTTCGAGATGGTCTCCGAAACTGGAACGTGACTCTACTAGACGAAGGTACGGGAAGTTTGTAGGCGAAACACAGTTGTATAGCTTAATGAGGACCACCTTCCCGCGATGAAACTTGTCTCTCGAGTAGAACCGTGCGGGTGCAATATGGCACTTGCATACTTTTTTTTAATGGAGCGTTTCTTTTTGCATAAATCGATTTTTTCTCGTTACTCCGCGTAGAAGGCCGTTAACCGGGTTCGGGGTGTGTTTTATTTAAAATTTAATAGGAAATTGCAACTTTAAATAACGAACGAGATTTAAACTTAAAATTTCATTTATTCGATTCGGTATACAGTCTGCGACATTTTCGTTAATGTATATTTCGCTCTTGGAAAGCGATACCTAAGATCGGTAATATGTACCGTGTTCTATCGTTATGATACTTTAATATAAGGGAAACGATGCATGGGGGCGATAATAAAATGTCGATGATTATGTTTGTAACGTATACGTATTCGTAATCAAGATGGCAGTTCTTGTCGTTGCTATTTCTTTAACTGTCTAATAGTATCAAATAGTGAGCCTGTTCGTAGTTCTAAATATTTCGTGTCTTAAGAAGTGATCGTACAAAATGTCTGGTTTCGCTGTGTTTTAAAGAATTTTATGTGGTTGTTGAATATCGTAAATAAACTCTGTATTTAATATTTTGTCGTTGTTCAAATCTCAAAAGAATTGCAGTTTATTATATTATTCTTTTTATTATTTTCGATTATTTGATAAACAATTGCGCGAACACATTGCAACCAGACATACCGTACATTTGAACCTTACGTTTTATTAATTATTCTATGTTGATATGGATATTATTCGATAGTTCATATTACTATCTTCGTTTTATTAATGATATTATTTTTCTTTTATTTTTGGTCCACAGCTAATTGGTCATGTTAGAGTTTTCAAATTCGAAATGGTCCATTATACGTGTTGTCTTCTTCGTTTTTTTTCTTTATATATACAATAATTGTCTATGATTTTAATCGATACGTGATATGTAGATTATCTCCGTCAAACTAGCTCAGCGAAAAGCGACAGAATCAAAAGCACGAACGAAGCTGCTTGTCGCGCGGATCCGTTGCAAGCGTCTGCATCGTTGCAGGATTGAACGCAGCCTCGAACGTATCTGTAAATCATAATTAAACAATATTAACAAATTGCGTGCAACGACTAAAAAAATTCGGTAATTTCGAACGAAGAAATATTATTCTATATTTTCAGTTCGGTTTCTCCGGTTGCGTGATTTTTATAATATTCGTTAACGATCGTAAGAAAATGAATCGAGTACGTCTTCCGTCGAAACTCACTTGTCGTCGAAGTAGAATCCTCCGCAATGCGACATTCTTATTATTTCTGAGTCGGTCGTCAAAGTCCCGCTGTCCAACGCACAGCTTCTCACCGTCAAAGAGATTCCAGACTCGTCTAATCGATCACACATTAATCACAAATGAATTTATCCATTCTCACAATTATCCTATTCGAAGTTATCATTCAACATCGATTTTCTAAATTTCTCATTTTTTGGTCATGTTCATACGCATCAAAAATTCTAAATCAACTATAAATATGACTTATTATTGATCTCTAAACATTACGAAATTAAAAAAAAAATATATATCATTCATTTTACATTATATTCTATAATGTTTAGAGTACTCGTTCGTGTAAATAAATTTAAATTCTGATTATTGCATAGAAAAAGGTTCAAAAATATACCGTTGTATTATATATTTAATTCTCCTCTGCGAGGCATATCCGTTCTTATTTGTTACACGTTGTCAGAATAGTACCAATAGTCGTATTAAACGTCGCGGGAGCAGTGCCTAATTATTTCGAGCGGTTTACCCAACCCTTTCGGTGCTAAGATCTTCGACACGAAGCTTATTGTGCGCTCGCATAGCGAACCATAGTGTATTCAGGGAACACGCAGCGCCGAAAGGGGTTAAGGAGCCACTCGCAAAATCACAAAAGGAGGAACTTTTTTACCGTATATGCCCGCTATTTTGATGCACGCGGTCGCCGGGAAGAGACCGTCGCGGCCTTTGCGACCGCCCATGCACGGCGACTCCAAGAAAGCCAGGCTTCCATTATTGTGAAACGGGTCGTCGCAGGGCTTATTGTCGCCGTCGATCGACACGCACTTGAAACAGTCAATGGCCCAGCCTGATACGAAAGAACGAAAAGAACAAGGAGATAAGTTACGATCGGGACTACGACGATCACTGTGTCGCGGCGACGTGACAAATTTCATTCGAATAATAAGCAACAATCGATAATTCCCGACGTTTCTTCCATTAAACTCTTAAATGTTCATTTGTTTATTTTCAGACATTATACGATTCTGATACTTTTGCTCAGCCTTTACTCGTCGTTCGAAATTTTCATCTATTCCTCGCAGAAACGATTAAAAAACCAGAAGTTCGATAAAATATGCAATACAAATTTTAGTGAGGGGTGGGGGGTAGTACCTTTAAGCAATATCCAATCAGTGGTTGAAACGGTTCCGAAAATAACCGTTTCGAACTGTTATATTTATTGGTCCCGAATTAAAACGGTTATGGGAACCGAAAAAATGTTTCAACAGTTACGGATATATCGGTTCTAGCCCATATCGATTTCGGCTACGGGTCTTATAATATCGGTTCTATAACTGTCATTTTTCGGTGTATTTTCTGTGTATGTACAATCTTATATTGATTTCGATACGGTTCTTAATTCTTCGCGAAATTGTGAAATTATTAACGTATCTTCACGGGACGCGTTTTTCGTATTCTATGTCGAGTGTCAAGAATTGAAACCGATATTATAATTGTATCTCTCTCTCTAGAAAAATATATTTTTTTACATTAAATACAACGCATGTGTGCTTGATATAATTACAGGTTTTAAATAAGTATTCAGCTACCCCCCAAAAAGTATAGAGCGTCAATTGCATAAAATAAAGACAATTACACAAGAATGTGTTTGCTTTCCAATAGTATACTTTGACTAATTACAATTTTGCGAAGATCAGACAAGGGTTGAAATTCGACTCATAAAAAATGTGAGCGATACCCCCAGAAATATTGATTCCTAACACACAAGAAAAGCATACAGTTCCAATGAGAAAAATATCTTCCTCCAAATCTGAGATACGAAAAATTCTTTTAAACAATCGTGCTCCACATATTCTTTGAACGTACGAAAAAGAATCGTTTAGATCATCCCCCGAGTAACTGACCTTGCGAAACGACGAGAAGCACGATCAGCCCGTAAGAGACGATCCAGGCGAACCTGACATCCATCTTTTCCCTTATCCGCGCTCGCTTTTCCCAGGATGCAAACGATCGTCTGGCTGCCGTCAGCTGTCGAACGCCCGGGGCTCTGAGTCGAGTTCCTCCAGCGGGTTCATGTCAGACGGGGAAAAACGATGCCGACTGAAACGATCGGCGTCCTCGGGGACTCGGATCGAACCGTGTCATCCGTCACCAGCGACAAATCCATACAGAAGCTACGGTTGTTCCCCGACGACGCTCCGTCGACGACGTAGTGTTTTGCCAAACCGGTTACCAAGGCGATGATACCACCGTCGTTGATTCGTCGTCTCTTCCCGAGGATCAGGGGGCCGCTGATCGATGATCCTCCGCGACGGAACCGTCGAGGAACGCCTAACCGCGACGTCGTAGCCTCGGTTCAGTCTTCCTCTGGCCTGGTCTGCTCGGGATCCAACCGGGTGTGCAACCTGGGGCTGGAACGGTTCGCAATCGCGTGATTTCCGCGCTGTGGACGGTAAAATAATGGGAGCGCGGTGCACGCGAATTGTGGGCGCAGTTGCGGGCACCTAGAACGCGTAGTCGCGTGGGAACTTCGCGAACGCGTGTCCGTTTTTCCACGAAACGGCGTGCGTTCGTTTTGGGATTTCGATGGTGTCGTGCTTGGGAAACGGGACCGATGTGTGCTTTTGCGTGTCGTCGTTCGTCGAGCGCGGCTGTAGACGGCTGGCAATTTGTTTGGGTGCGTAAGTTGATTTTTAGTACAGGATAATTCTTAATGTTCCTATCTATCGGATCGTTCGATAAGCTCGTGTTGTTGTGTCATGAACGACTGAAGCCAGATAAAAATTTAATACTCGTGTTCCATTCTACCAGTGAATTCCTCTATTTTTCATCATTTCTATCGTTCTTGCTATAATCTTCGAACCATGGGACGCCAAACTAATGATAGAGAATACGATGTTTTAGAAATTGTTTCCAATTTAAAATTTCATGAATTTCAAGGATTCCTTCTTTGATCGTTTTTTGAGGGGGCGCTGTTTACGAATCTATTTTATTATCAAATTTCATGTCTCTCAGAGGATAATTACGAGCGTGGAAAACTTACGTGAACGAATAAAAATTGCTGCAGATAGCTTAACCCCGAAGTACTAATTGGCGCCGCGTCGAACTTTACTCTTAATTATACAATAGATGATACCACTTTATCGTTTTACGAATAAATTCGATTTAATTTCCCTGCCAATCGCTGAAACAGATGGAAACCTTGTGACCACTCGGTATATTTTCAGCGACTGTTACATTATTATTAATCTTCCCTCAGGTATCGCATCCTTACCGCGCTTAATGTAATTTATGATTCGATTAATAATACGAGCACACTTTATCGTCCCTCATCACGTGTTCTTAACGTAAGCGAGATTTCTAGAACATTAAATCTCTGGAATGTTTTTTATGCTGAAACAGTGTAAAGT